GATCTAATCACTTTTTTTAGTGTTACACTTCCATATAGCTGGAGATTCTAAAAAAAGAGTAGATGCTTCACATGACTTTAGAGAGTTCCCTCCAAAGCAGAGAAGACATTACATAACTGCTTTACAGGCTTAGTGGCACTCTCTCGTACCCCTAGTAAACGAACTTGTATCTGTATATTGCTGAAAGTGCTCTCTTAAATGAAGATGTCAGTGAAAGAGCGTTAGAGAGGCGGATCTGAGTGTGAAACACACAAACACCGGACTGGACTAATTGCTGCCTAACGCTCCACTAGCTGTGCCTGACGTTATATGTGTTGTGTGTGTGTGTGTTTTGATGTATGTATGTGTATGTGTGTATGTGTGGTGTGTGTGTGTGTGTGTGTGTGTGTGTGCGTGTGTGTGTGTGTGTGTGTATCCCTGACACCCCGCAGTCGTTTTTTTGTTTTCTATTGCTATGTCATTTGAGCTGCTGATTATGTAGCCTTGCTTTCATTGTGTCCTAATAACTAATAAAAACTATTTTTGACCTGAGGCCCCAGGTGTATGCAGTCAGCTACAGGATTTGGGGTTAGATAACATGAAATGGTGATTTCAAATGACTGCAATCAGGGCAATTTGTTTATTTGATCATAACAGTTTTTCTGATATATTGGCATGTTGGAACTATTGCAAGCTCTTTGCTGGCCCCTTCATTTATATACAATGTGATAGAAATAGTAGAAATCTGGGTTGAGACAGGACAACAAAGAGGTAAACAATGACAAAGCTACAACGAAGCATCTAAAAGTTTTACTTTTTTTATGTGTGCATGTGTTTCCTACCTTTTCTTACCCAGGCTGGCGTGTGTGCTTGATGTGTCACAGTGTAACAGGAGCGATGCTTCCCTTTGACCAGCTCATCCCATAGGATGATGTCTGCTGAATCTGAGTCCGTCCTCAGACTCTGTCTCTCAAACAGAGAGATATGAGCTGAGTTAAAATATAAGCCACTGACCTGAGATAAGACGGACACACACACACACACACACACACACAAAAAAATGGTTATGGAGCAATTGGCAAATGATGAAGGCTCCTGATAATGTTCGGCCTCCTTCCTTCTTCTTCTTCTTTCCATTTACCTGTCCTCCAATGTCTCCTATTGTGAGGACGGCCTGTTCCGAGTGAGAGGGATCCACCCAGTAGTCAAGACACCAGGGAATAAACTTCAAACCCTAGAGAAGATAAGAAGTGGTGTCTACAATGTTATATCTATACTTTCCTCAGGTTATATCATATATATTGTATACATTAAGAGAAAAACATTAGGGGGAAAAATTGTTAAACATTTTTTTATAGGATTACAGCTGTTACCTGGAGTTTATACTTGCAGCTGAAGTCTTGTTTGGATAGAATGTCATAAAAACACACCTCCTTACTTGTGAAAGACACTGCTATCTGAGAGAGAGGGAAAATGAGTGAAAATATGTAGATTGAAATAATTACATGTATTTATCAATATTTGATGGTGTTATTACTGAAGAATAAATGTTTATATTCTGAACATTATGCAATAGTGTCATGTCTGCAATGCCATTAACCTAAATCGCTAATCAATAATTAATTGATTGAGTGAAATGCTTGTTTACCTCTGTGCAGTATCTGCCCCAATAACCGAGACTATGTATCAATAATTAATTTCTACAATAACATTGGTTCAGTTGTGTAAACTATGCTACAAGACTCCAGAGGGTAGCAACATAACCAGGCCACCAGTCAATAATTTGACTGACCGATCAATTGTTCATCATGCCATGTTTTAAAAGTGAAAGTCACCTTGTGTACATTGTGCAGCAGCACCATGTCAGTGACCCAGAGGTCTTTGGGTGTGACCGTACTGTTTTGCAGTCGATGTGTGTGCAGAAGGGACATATCCTCTCCATTCCGCAGCCCCACAGTTCCTCCTTTACTCACGGTCAGATACTGACCTAAACTCTGCAGGTGCAACACCTGGGAAGACCAGAGGACATTACAAAACAACAACACTTAATCTAGACAAATATACGGATTGGGCAAAGTCACAGAAAGACTCTCCACTTACTTCATAGAGTTTAAAACTGACCTCCAGAATAGCCTCAATGCTCTTTGTGATGCAGTTTGTAACATTTTAATGGGAAGTTAATTAGTAAAATGGAGTCTGCAGCCTCCATTTCATTTTGAAGTATTTCCTTTCCTTTCCTGCTAATCTTCCGCAATAAAACTACACTAGAATAACTCCATTAAACTAAATCTTCCTCTTGTTGGATGCAAGTGAGTACAAGTGAGTAAGGCACATTTGTCTGTGCTGAAACCAATAAAACAAAAAGGATTAATGAATGATGCCATTTTATTGGCTAAGCTACAAAATAAAAAAAACTGAGGGCTGAAGAAAAAAAAGGTTCAGCTGACTGTGTCTGATGAGAAAGACACTGAATATCTTGAAAGAAAGGTTTGTTCATATTTATAGAACAGAGGTCAGGACAACTACTGTAATTAATTACTGCAGACTGGGTCACTTTCCCACAGCCAACTGGAGGCTTTGTTGGATCTCTCAGATGTATTTATCGCTAATTATTCTAATTACCTATTTATCTACAGCTGGTGAGTCACTGGTTTGATGTCTTTTTTTCCCCAGATGTACCAAATGGAGCACTTACATTTTTGCCAGTCTGTGAGCTGCTCTATATTGCTTTAAAAACTCAAGATATATCTATCAGGATTTTATGTAAGGGATAATGTCCATTATCAGATATTAACAGACGATCTGGAGGACAGAACCGTACGACGTGCAGCACTGTGTACATTTGACAAACGGTTAATATACTGTCACACTATGTTTAACAACAAGACCCGCTAGCTATCAGCCATTTCATTGTCCCCAAATACATTATCAGATTTTCTCAAACGATAGGGAATGTGTACTGTCGGCTGCAGCCTGAAGTAGTGAGCTGAATAGTGGACGGGATGTGGGCAGATACAAAGTATCAGTAAGTTCAGAGGGGCAGTGGAGGAGCTTGTGTGTTCCAGTCTCAATACTGTGATGTTCAGAGGATGAGCCACTGAAGGACTACACTCAGTGTAGTGAGATATATTTATAAGATATTTAACTAGATTTTGTTTTCATTCAATTCATTTCATCGCATTCATTTAGAACATTAAACAGTTCTCATTGGAACTACTTAGTAGATGTCCTACAGCAAGTATTAATGGACACCCAGCAGCCAATCAGAACCAAGTATTCACCCAGATCCTGGTATAACGTGATTTAATTACTCCAGGGTTAAAGCAGCCTTCACTGATTTTTTGAACCCCTGGGGGTTGTGAACACTACATTAACATACACCGATCAGCCATCCTTGGACCACTTTTGATAGCTATCTGCACTGCAGCGGGAACACCAACAAGAGCGCAGTTATGGAGATGCTCTGACCGTCGTCTACCATCAAAATGCCTTGGTCAAGTCGTCATTTCACGTGCCACTTTCCTCTTCTTCAAAAAAAAATTTCTTTTGCTGCCAAATATATCACCACTGACAGGTGCCATAATAACCAGATAATCAGTGTTATTCACTTGGCTCACCACACAGTCAGTGGTCATAATGTTATGGCTGATCATTGTATTATCACCTTTTAAAGCTGTCATGGCATTTTAGCAAAATGTTTACATTTTTAGCAGACAAAACCATTTTTAATCTAGTCCAAGATTTACTTACTTTTGGTTCTGTTTTGGTCCCTACCAACTCCTGAGGGAAGTATGTGACTCTTTAGCTGCTAGGTACTCTGCTATGTTTACTTTGTCAGCGTTTGGTGCTGGGAAGGCAGCGTTCTTGCTGCAGAGACTGAACCAAAACACAAAAGTAGTGGGCCAAAAAAACAAAACAATCAACTAAAATATGCACTGCAACCGCACTGTCGTGTAACCCCGTTTGCTATATAAAAATATGGATTAGTGGAGCTAGTGCAACACATTTTCTATTTTGTCAACACTGCTTAAGTCATGCCACACTTTACTGAAGAGTGTTTTTAAGACAGAAATTAGAGTCTTCTGAGTGACATTAGTCTGTCTGCCTTTTTAAGACTGATCTAAGCTAAAGGGGTCAAAACCTTCCAGCCATTTGGAAAACAACTTACACAACATACTGACATTTTGACATTCTCAGGATTGAAAGATTAAAGTGGTGAGCCATCACTTTAACCACAGCAGCAGGCACTTTATACCGGCTGCTTCATTTACATATTAATTGATAGATGTTAAACTTAAAAGAGTCCAGAGCCATTTATCTCAAAAGAGGTGTGCCATTTTGATGAGCAAGACCCTAATACTTTCGAACTTCTCCTTCGCACAATGTTTAATAATGCGGAATTCCATCCAGTCAGCACAGTTTTGGATTCTCCAGTCAGTCAATGTCAAAATGTTTTTCAGATAACATGCCGCAATAGCTCACATGTTTAGAATGGGAAACAATGGGTTGTAACCCTCATAACAAACTCTCTTTCTCTGAATTCTCTAAGAGCTCACTGGTTCTTTCACCTTTTTAACTGGGTCTCGGTGCGGACAGGTCAAAGTGCGCGGTGGCTTCCAGCAAGGCACACTACTGGTTCTGGTGTTCTTCACTTTATCAGAAAGCTCCAGTAGCAGAAAGGAACACAGGCCTGGCCAGTCAACACGTCCTTCTTCCTTCACAGCATCGATGTCAAGAAGGAGGCCGCGGTGCTCCTGAGTGACAACCACGCTGTCAAACAGGAGGCCGTATTCCTCCTTGGAGCCACGGCCAACTGATGACCAAGCCAGATGGATGAATTCAGTTCTGGACAAGGAGCGAGATGCTCCAGAGGAAGGGTCCTGTATCAAGATCAACAAGGGAACATTGCAGTGTCTGCACATTTCTTATGAGACCTGGAAGTGTGGTGCTATGGGACGCTGTTAAACAAAGAGATATAGTTAACATTCCAACTCTCTTCTTGACGTTCCCCATGTGGATTAAAGGTGTTGTAATATGAGACTATTATTAAACTGACAAAAAAAACAGACCAACACTCACCAGGAAAAGATCCTGTAGCTTTCTATAGTCCTCTGTGTTCATCCTGCTCTCAAGCTGTGCCACCTCCATCCTTGTTCCCATGGTAACACTTCAGACCTGTCAATCAATCACCAACAAACCAGACAAGGTCAGGAAGGTAAAGCATGTGTATGCGTGTCTGCATGAAGACTCGTAGTCAAATAACAGATTCCCCGCATTTCGAGGTTACATGAGGAAACAAGATGTTCCCAGCTCCAGTAATCCCTTAGTAACCTTCTATATCTGTTTCACAGCGTGTTGTCATGTCACCATAATCATACAGCAGAGTCACAGCAGTAGCGGATTTCCTTTGTTGGCTCTTTTCACTCTATCCAAACATGTCTGTGTTGAATGGTTTGCAAAGGTCTTTCATTTAGAACAGAAATTTCCCTCCGGCTCAGTGGCTTTCAAAGGTGGGTGAATAGGTCCTCAAATTATGCCTCAGAAATGGTTTGCGGAGGCAAAGCATGTCAAGTCTCTGTAATGTCAGGTAATGTGGAATAAAATACTGAAGTCAGGTCAATGAGCAGCATGAATAATAGTATGAATAAAAGGTAGAAGCTGTTCAATTAGCCTGTGTGGTGATTAAAAAGGATGTTTGAGGTCTAAGAGAGAAATGTGAGATGATGAAAAAGTTTCATTTTAACATTTTACAAAACACCACAAAGGGCAGAGGAGGACGGCAAACACTCTCAGTTTCATTTTTAGCCCGACATAAACGTTTATGAGACAAATTCATTGGAAGTGGCATCAAACTGAGCAGAGATTTAGATGACAGGGTGCGTAATGAAATCAAAAAAATCAATGCGTAGCTGAAGCTATTATCTTTTTTATAATGGTGATTAACTGCAGCAGGATCCTGATAGTTGATGATAGTTTATCCACCTCTTTATTTACATCACTGACAACAACTAGCAGACTGCGACAGATATGTTTATGCTACAGTAATCAATGGAAAAGAATCATTCTTTTGTTTTGTTTATGAGTGTGATAACTTTTAATCAACTACATCCTGACGTGTTCTGTGGCAAAGCAGCTGGCATCAGTCTTTATGAGACTACAAAGACACAGTTCCATAAAATTAACACAAAAGGAGGAGCTCATATGTTGAGCTGAAGCACACTGCTGCTTGAACAAACATAAAACATATCTAACATACATCTGTCCTACTAACAGTCATTTACTGTAGGGAACTGCTTTCAATCATGCACATTTTACAAAATAACTCTAAAAAATAAATAAAAATAAAAATTCACCTGCCTGGGTTGCCTCTCTTATTCCTAGATGGCTGCTTCAGGCCCAGTCAACTAACTCGAAACTGTCACTGCTGGATTTCTATCTGGGGTTTATTAAAGTTGTACAGAGTATCATCCACTGCAGTCAAACTGTCCAAAAAGCCATCTCAGCACCAGGCTGTAACTGTATAATGACAGGCTCTTGGCCCGGCAACATCACTGTCAAGTTAGCAGTACCTTTCCAGGAAAGCCAGTGTGTACATACACTTCAGTCAAGCAGGTTTTTAATCATGAAATCCATACAGCAGAGCTGAACACACAGTTTCTCGGTTAATAACAAATTCAAACTTACCAGGACCCTCTCAGTCCACAATGGCTGTCCAGAGTAAACAGGCCCAGAGTCCCCCATGCTCTTAGGGTGTTGAAACACCATTTTTAAATGTATGACATTTCAAACAAATCCTCAGCCTCTGGCTGGTCTGTCTTGGCCTTGGCTGGGTTTTGTCCGAGGGAGATCCAGCTGATTCCAGGAGCCCCGAGCTTTGTGTAAGCCAGCGATGTCTGAGATGCAATCAACGCTAACAGCCCTGGCTGCAGCATACCCCCCCAGAGAGAGTTAACTAACTGCCCCCAGTAGCCCAGACAGTGGCAGTGGCCACACACACACACACACACAAAATACTTTCCTTTTATTATCCCTCACTCTCAAAGACTCTGGCTAAGTTTCCTGGCAACCAAGTGGTCAAAAAGAGTTGTTTGTGAGTGCAGGCGCTATCGTCTGTATGTAACACAATGTGTGTGTTACTTCTATTCACAGATTAGGCACCGGAGAGAAAATAATCTGTGTGAGGTACAATTACTAAACACACACACCATGGCTACAGCAACACAATTGACAAAAACATTAGTATTCTATTGCCACTCATAAAAGTGTCCAAGTACTGAAACAACTTTAAAACAGTACTGACGTGAACCTGGACCTCAACAAAAATACAAAACACACACAAGCAGAGCTTTATACTGCCATTCAAATGCCTCTGAGAGGACTTCCTGTGGGTCACTAGCTGTACACACACACACACACACACACACACACACACACAACAAAAGAGAAAAAAAGTCTCTTAGGGATTTGTTACACTGAGACAAATAGATTCCCTGTATGACTGTAAGCATGGATGCACACAAAAGCTATACATCAAACAGATATTATCATCCCCCTCCTTCCCTGCTGCTTCAGTGACCACAACCAATCCATGTATGTGACTTAATGGCCTGGAATAACTTGAATTAGCTGATTACAGCGGTCGTCAACGGTGACAGGATCAGAAAATTAGGTCTCAGCAATTTCAATAATAAAGCTTTAAAAATTAACACTATCACAATTGGATTACAGTGGTGCGTGTAGGAGCCAGTACAGCGCCCAAAATAGCCCACCACAAATCCACCATGGAAAATCCACTATTATACAGGGAGAAGAATGAAGTTGCTGGAATGGGGAAAAAATTGGTACGGATCTTAGTACTGGGAGGAAAGAGGTGCAGGCGGAGAAAGAGAATGCAAGGGCAACTGAGCGGAAATGAAGCACTTTCATACAACAATGCAAATCTGAAGAGAGACCCACTTTTGAAAATCTTTCTCAAATGACAGAACTCTTTTGCAATAAAATAAATTGCGTTTTCAACACACTCCTCGTGACTTGTTTAAGAGTTCTTGAGGATTTTATTGCATTTGGTTCAAGGAATGTTGTCAGGGACGTTGCAATTAAAGTATAGGAAACGATACATTCATGGACGAATTCATTTGTACATTTGAAATCTTGGCCTACTTAAATACTTCATCAGATACTTCACTATCTGTATAGGTTTGTGTTGATCCATTTATTTATTTGTCTGTAAATCTAGTAGTTGCAAGAACCATCCACTCTGTCTCTGTGTTTGTCAGAATTATTGTAATGAAATTCTGTAACTTCTTTTCCTTCTTTCGTCTTCGTCTGCTATTTGTGGGAATGACCTTGGACTCACAAGCCAACAAGTTTGTGAGCACTAGGTTGTGCACACAATCTGGAGTCTAAAACAAAGGATTTCCTCATTGATGTTAAGTATCCGACAATGATAAACAGAAGCTTACCATTGACTTTGGTGGATTTTTGAATAACTGATTAAATAATCTCTGATTAAATAGTGTGATAGCTTTGCTGGAAATATCTCAGTGTGGTTATATATGCAAATTCATATGGGGCAAAGAAGAACATTTCACCAGCACACAGTAAAATGTCAGTTTCACGGTGGATTTCCTTTTGTCTAAATAGGTGCGTGGTTTTTTCACATTTTAGAATAAAAAAGAAACACTAAATAGTTTTTTCTTTTTAAAATCAATTATGTCTTTCTGTCTGAAAAACCCTCTAAATTAAAAAACCAGAGTATGAAAAATTCACTCTAGTTGACTCACGCCTACATCCATTACCTGTGAGGAGTATGTATATATGTGCACATCCCCAGTACTTACACTCATCACAAATAACATTGGATTGGATCATTACCTTAAGATTTTGCATCTTGATCAGCTATCATCTAAAGAAGCCATGTGGTCTTTTATAACATGAACTATTGTTAGTTGACAGTGAATGTGAGACATATACTTCTGTAACTAAAGTACAAAGAAAGACAGCACAGCTGGTGAGTTACTGTTCACCTGGATGGTGATGGTTTATGACGCACTGGGTGAAGCAGTACAGGACAAAGAAAGCATTTCAAATTCCTCAACATTTCTCCAGACCATGATTTCCTGACAGGATTTGAACATATCTGATTTAAGTTGAATATAATGCATGCTGATAGTGGCAGGATATTAGTGCAAAGTGTGAGATACCACCATATAGATCAAGATTATGTTTTACAATAGAAAAAAACGACAATAAAAGTCAGAGTACAGACATGTGGGAATGTATTTTAAAAACTGAATGCTGCTTCTTTTCATTGTACTTTCTTTTAGACTTGTGCAATCACCAAACTTTTAAGGACATTGGAAATAATCACATTTTTCCTAAACTTCTTCAGAACTACACGGTCCTGAACAGAGAGGGAAATGTATAAAGGAATGAAGAAATATTGACTTAAGAATCTGAGAAAAGAACAACATAAAAGAGAGTTAAAAATCCCTGGCAATTACTGTCAACATGATTTGCTTTGAACCTCAAACTACCTGATCTCCCGTCAAAGCCACAGAATTATAAATTATACACCCAAAAATAATAAAATGTCTTTACAAATTACAAAGCCTCATATCACCTATTCTCTAATAAAAAAAGATCTGCTTGTGTGTGTGTGTATGTGTGT